GCAGATATCCTCCAAAGATGAGGTGCAAAAGCATTCAAGGGGGGAGCCTAGGATGGAGCCATGTGGGACACCCACCAAAAGAGAAGAGGAGGAAGTGAGGATCTGCCAAATGAGATCCTGAAGAAGGAGAACCAGAAGAGGGCAGAGTTGCAAAAGGCTCCTGTTCCTCTCCCTCATTTTCTCCTTGGTATTTGAAAAGTTCCTTTGAACCTTCAACGGTTCTGGGCTTTGTTTAAAAAATGCACGCCTGAAATAATGGAGAATCTAAGTCTAGCACTGCATCCTTCCCTAGCACTCATATCAAACCTTTTAAGAATGTCCAAAAAGTATGCTGACCCTAATGTGTCGTGCTCTCTGGTCGGGGGTTGGCGGGTGGTAACATTATGCTAATCTAGAAATAAAGGTCTTTTTTTAAAAATTGTAGATTTTGAGCCCAGCCAACCTGTTTATGTCCTGCACCTGCCACTATTTGAAATATTCATCCAGTGCTTGCTCAGTACGTGGTAAAAGCTGACATCAATATTTCTCACGACTGCTTTTAGAGGATATAATAAAAGGTAGTCCAAGAAGTATAACTTCAGTAGGAGTTCGTAGGCCTGGAAAAGCGATACTCTGCACTGCATTACATAAGGGGTAATTTTAGAAGGTAAAATAAAAAACAAGTTAAAAATCACCTAGAAAAGTTAGATGCCTGCAAGGAACCAGGGCCTGATGAAATGCAACCTAGAATACTCAAGGAGCTGATAGAGGTGGTATCTGAGCCTCTAGCTATCATCTTTGGAAAATCATGGGAGACAGGAGAGATTCCAGAGGACTGGAAAAGGGCAAATATAGTGCCCATCTATAAAAAGGGAAATAAGAACAACCCAGGAAACTACAGACCAGTTAGTTTAACTTCTGAGTGTCCTTTTTTTTGTTTTTTGGGGGTTTTTTTTGCTGAACAATTTTGGAGTGTCTCTTCACATTTTTTCTGCCATTGTTTTGCTCTTTTCGTTTAATGGGTTGGCCACCCCTGTTCCAAAGCATGGGGGGGGGGTCTGTCATAGCAGGCATGCCATGGATTTATATAGAGGTATTATGATATGTGTTATCTATGTTTCCTGGAGTGATTCCAAAAATTCTGTTAGCTTTTTTTGACTGCCACTGCCTCCTATGTGGATCTTTCAAGAGAGCTGTCTATAGTGACTGCATGATCTCTCTTCCCAGAATAACAGCTAATTTGCACTCTATCCATTTATATGTATAGCTGGGAATATGTTTTCCAATGTTCATTACTTTACATGTATCCACATTGAATTTTATCTGCCATCTTGTTGCCCAGTCATCCAGGGCTGAGTCTCACCCTGTGCATGTAGGCGAGAAACCCAGTTAGGAGACAGGGAGTCTCACCTGTCACTCCTATCGAGATGGGTCGGCTCCTCTCTGATGGGATCTCTCTCCCATTTTCCGTGTCCCAGGATTCACAACTGTACACTCCATCCTGCAAGCCAGACACCCCTGGGAACAGAAGCGAGTCCGTGTAGCTGTCCTGAGGTGAGGGGAATTCCAGGAGTTGGATTTTCTGGCCATTCCTGAAGAACCGGATCCCGGACACAGTGGGCACCCCAGCAGCTGAACACGTCAGGGTCACAGTTTCCCCAGTGATGTACACAGGATGCTGTGGGGACACAGTGAGCTGGGGAGCTGGGAGGGGGGCTGAAAAAGACAAGAGGATGGGGGGGATAAGGTTCAGAGAAGAGTAACATGAGTGATTAAAGGTCTAGAGAACATGAAACCAAAATATAACAAATTATGAGCTTTTGTAGGCAAAAACCCACTTCATCAGATGAATTGGAGTGGAAATAACAGAATCCAAGAAATAAATATATATATTTTTTTCTTGGATTCTGTTATTTCTTGGATTCTGTTATTTCCACTCCAAGTCATCTGATGAAGTGGGTTTTTGCCTACAAAAGCTCATAATTTGTTATATTTTGGTTAGTCTCTAAGGTGCCACAGGACCTCTTTTTATTTTAAGTTGTTATCCAGAAGCACTGACACAAAGGAAAACTGGGACCCATTCCACAAAATGCACTGCTCAGTGGTCTGCCCGTTTGTTCTATTATTGCACAAATATACTCTGTGGAAATGGGCTAGCCCCTCTTGTGCATCACAGAAGCAGCCTTGCTAGTGAGACTCTAAAGGACTTTTAGGGTCTGCAAATCTTGTACATGCAGCAACTATTGTAGGCACATCTCTTGTGGGAACCAATGGGGTGTATTTTCAACAGGGATCCAATAGGGAAATAAAATGCAGTGCTCTTCCCTATCCACCCTGTCGAATGAAATGCCCGCCCTCCCAGAGTAGATTGTGTAGATGTTCATAAAATGATTGGGTGTGCCCTCTGAGCTCCTGGTGAAAACAGTTAATTGAGCAGACAGAAGTCTTGTTTTAGTCCCTCAAAGATCTGGGTGCGCATGGTTCTATCCTAATTTTAAGCCCTGCCTCTCACACACTCACATAAATCTGAAAATCAGTGCTCCGCTATGGCCACTAAATATCAGAATGGCATAATGGCACCTTTCTCAAGCAGCTGCCTTTTGAAACGTTATAAAAAAAAAAAAACCTTCAAAAAATGAACCTAGTGTAACAGCAGCCAAGATCTCTCTGATGCTGCAGTGAGCATGCAACAATAGCTCTGGGAGCTGTGAACTATGATCGATGTCAGCTCGATGCCCAGTGACATTAACGAGTTCGTTCCTTCTGAAAGAAAGGAGAGATCTGCACCCTGTGAATTGTCTCATGTTGGTGCCACAGTTGGGGTAGCATTTTGATATCTCTCCACTTATTTGCCCCCAATAAAGGAACCTAGCAGAGCTCATTTGCGCCATACTGAGATTGGGTGTCAAGATCAAGGTGCTCATAGGGCACACCCAATCATTTTATGAATATCTGCACAATCTACTCTTGGGGGCATTTCATTTGACAGGGTGAAGAAGGGAGAGCACTGCATTTTATTTCCCTGTTGAAAATACACCCCATTGGTTCCCATAAAAAAGGGGTGCCTACAATGATTGCTGCATGTACAAGATTCGCAGACTCCAAAAGTCCTTCCGATTGGCTTTAAAAAAAAAAAAAAAAAAAAACACAACAATCTACAATCTGTTTCCCTGTGTCCTTTAAAAATAATGTGATTCCATTGAGACCTAACATGTCCAAATTGGATTAAAATTGTTGAAGTACTTCAGTGCTCAAAGACACACATAAATAAACAACTTAACATTATAAAGCTTTTCAAAAATAAAAGCCCGTTTTCTTGATGTGCTCCTGTCTCGATTTCCAGTGCTCCTGCCTGCAGTTCTAGCTGCTTTCACTCTCATCTCCAGGAGCTCCTCTTTTGATCTCCCACGGGTACATGTGCATCTCTGCGTGTGTTCCTCACTGTTTCCCTCACAGCAAAGTTTCTTTTCGTGTCACCAGCTCTTTTGAAAGTGGTCAGACTTCTCTCCGCAAAGTGGCGTACTACTGCCACTAGCACTCCTAGACTTTACGTCCTCTTCCCCCACGAATAGGATTTTTTTTTCTTTTTTTTGGCCTCTTTATTGGAAGTGTGTGACACCCAAATGCTCCTTACAGTGAATCTTAAATCTGTTAACAGAGTTGTAAGCCTGATTCAGATGATGGAAACTGTGTCTGATTATGAAAGTAAAGGGGAAAACTCAAGGGACTTAGAAATAATATTTTATTCTTTGGGGACAGAATGAAGTTGGAAAGAATTACAGTTGTTCATATTTTGGTTTTCAGTTGTATCTCAAATAAATAATGTTTAGAGCCTGAATTTTATTTATACTAACACCCCTTTCCACCACTTGACACTCTAAAGAAGCTTTAAAGTGAACATATTGTAACTTGAGAATCAAACCATGTAGTTTAGAAATATTTAAGTAAAGGTCTGATTAGATTAATCAGTTGGAACTAAATTGGATACAATTCATACACAGTACCGCACAGAGAGGAAGTAAGATGCATGTAGAAAAAAGCACACAGTTAAAAGAACCTTAAAATACATATTTATTGTATGTTTGTCACAACATTAAGCATTTTATAGAATTTGAGAGAGTGCAAGAATGACAGAACGAGAGAGAGAGAATTATAGTCCTCTGAAAATAATCCAAAGGGAAGAGAAAGGCGAGCAGAAATGTACAAAATACCCAGCAAACTAAGTTAAACAAGACTTTAGGAAAAGGGAAAATAAAACAATTGAGGAAAAAATATACAAAACAGTGAGATTTTGCTTAAATTGACATATGACACAATACTGTAATTGGAACAGGATCTCGGTATCCCAATGTCTGTTTTTCAAAAACTGGTTAAAACATGCAAGAATACACTAATCATGTGTTGTTATTTCTACTGATAACTTTTTTAACTGTGGTAGCATTGTCAGTTCTGCCAAGTCATGAGAATAAAACCTCAAGTATAAAAATAAATGGGACAGAATTGCAGAAGGAGAGCCAACTGCTTGTTTTGCAGATTGACAGAGGGAAGGAAATGCATTGGTATGTTTTAAAGAGTCCTGTGTAGTAATTGGGCTGAGCTTTGTAGGCTGGGGTGGGGATTTTTTTTAAATTTTGTTTTTACACATAAAGTAAACTTATCCCATGGGAGTGCCCCTGTCTAAGGAATGGAGATGGACTTGGCGAGTTTATTAAAAATATCAGGGACACATTTTGTTAGTGTTTTCTGTTTAAATATTACTGTACATTTTAAAAATAGATCCTTAAAATGGTATATCTTTGATAAACTTCGATTGTTTTCTTCCAAAATATCACAAGGAAAAAAAGTGAATAGTTATTTTACAGTATACTTCAGTATTTGATTTCATAGTCTATGATACTTTGTTCTTGTTGCTTAAATAATCTCTATTTCCATGATTTCTGTAAGTCAGAAGTTACTGTCTGTACTGCCTTTTCATTAGATGTTTGCTAAATGTTTACCTTTGGTGTTTATACTTACTATAGGTTTGATTATCGGTAGCAATGGTTTCAAGACCGAGAAAATCAACACAATCAGTTCCGAAGCTAGTTTTTCATCTAGTGAAGGAAGAAGCCCTTTGTCAAGGTAAAGTCATTAGAGCATTTCATTTTTGAATGGCTGTAACAGAGTAAGAAATGGCTCTAGAAAATGAATAAAACTCTGAATACGTATAATTTTGTTTGTGACTTGAACAAGGGTAAGGTTCGTATTTGTGGTTATTCAGTATAGCAGCTAAACTTTGGTACACCTTAGAAAATATTTGCACCAAAGTCAGGTATTGTTTTGCAGCTGTTGTTTTCTCATTTTAAGACTCAATTGACATCTCAGTGAACCACAAATTAGCGTGTACAGCTGCTCTCAGTAGGGCTACTTAGAGACCAGACAATAGAAGTTGTCAGGAAAAGGGCAGACGTAAAACATAAAGTCTTGAAGAAATAGTGACATGTTTCTTCTTGTCGATGTAACTGAGAAGTAAACTAACTGTAGCTCAATGTGTATTTTTAAAAAACATTTGATGCTAAAGTATTTTTACTTTTTTTAACTTTCAAATTGAGTATGTTTAATTACATTGCCTTTTTCTTAATGGTTCAATTTATCTTTTTAGATTTGTTAAACTGCAGCAGTTCCTTTTGATTCTTTGAGCAGTGTGATGTTAATGTTCCTTAAATTTGTCATCAGTATGAGATACTAATCAAACAGTGGCAGTCAAATTAGTGGTCAAGAAATGTTAGGAAATGGAATATAATACAACTATTTCATGAAATTTTAGCTTGGCTTTAGATTATCATCTGGATGCTTATTGAAACATCACAGTAAGTGGGTTCTGTTAGTATATGGTTCCTTATCAGAAAACTGCCATTTATGACAGCCGATTAAAATACTTTAAAGCATTTTCATGTATTATTTAATCCTATCTACATTAACAGTATGTTTACATCCTTTTGTACTTTGTAATAGTTGTAATGATTTTATTGGTGATACTAATTATCATAGGAAACAGTTGCAAAATAATTTTATAATAAATCTTAATTTCTTACTTTGTGCTGATTTATATATTTCATTTAAAAATCACTATATTTTCTCTTATTGTAATGCAATCAAGTTAATCATGTGAAATAGTTAAGATGTAAAATATCGACAATAAGTTTTTGCTTTTGTTTAAAATCTTACATTTTGATATGATTAAACTTTCATTTATTATAACTTCTTTCTCTTTGGAAGACTGATTATAAAAAGGCAAGTCTTTAGGTCTTTTTTTAAGAAAATGTACCATTTAATGAACTATGCAAACATATTTTTCAAACATTAATTTTACTTTGTTTAGCATGTTACAGTGCTTGTTTATAATGTGTCTTGGAAACTTTCAACGTTTATGTAAATGCTATTTGTAAAATTCATTCGTCTTAAATTTTCCTTTTCAGATTCATATATGCTCACTAGGCAGATTTTGGAAACCATTTACTTTGCTTTATTATTTATCCCTTTGGTCTCTTAAAAGCAAACACACTTCCTACTCGAATAGTTTAAGATGTTACTTTAAAAAAACCCTTTAAATATCATAAAGTTATTTTCCTGAATAACTTAGAAATAGTATTGCCTTTTCAACATACAGTCTATTAGTAACACTTGCTACTAGACACTTGATATCTGTCTGACAAAGATATTTGGAAGTGCAAAGTAGCCAAAGAAGTATGAAAGAATGGGAAATAGAGAGCTCAGGTGGTTGCTTATTTGTGGTCGGGCGTCAGTGAAATTTCTTAGAGGCTCACTTTTAAGGATTCCACTTATTGCAGTCACTTCTTGTGCTTTATTGCTTTTACAAGTGGTCTCGAAACCAGTACTTGAGAATAAACATAACGGTGTAGTACTGCTGTGGTACTTTTTAAAAATTCTTCTTTGCTCTATCTTGTCACTGAGCTGATGAGTGACCTCGAAAAAGACCCTGCTGGACCTAAATAAAAAAAAAATGGCTTCCTCTGATGTCCTAGAGACAATAATTATGATGTGCCAGTTAAACCCAAACTACAGCTGAGGGATTTTACTTTAAAGCAGAGGCTTGGGCGCAAAAATGCATTTATAGCTCTTTGTCTGGCACCTCATTATGTGTGGGCCTGATTCATTAAGTAATTGGTTTGCAGTTGTTTACATGAGTATTAAGGCTTTCTATTCAGCAGCCTTTGAGAGATACATTGTGCAAATGTTGCATGTTATGAATGCGGAATGAGGGGCAGAGGACCAGTCCTATTGGCTAAACACTGCACTCTGTTGAAAAGCAAGAGAAAGAGATTGGGTGCTGCTTTGCATAGCAATGACTTTCTTAATAAGCTTTACAGATTAATACACACAAGCTATAAAAGATGCAAAGAGATACTCTTAGCACATTTATACATGCTCATTTCACTATTATGGTACTGGAGATGGGAAGAATTGAGTTCTTTCATATTCAGTTTTTCAGTGCAATGTCTTCAGTGCATGAGACTTAATAGAATCCGATATTTATTGTATTATAAATCATGGGGAAGTAGGCAGATCTGCAACAGTTTATTATTAAAGATTCTTTCAATGTAAATCTTTTTCTGCTATTGTATTTCCTACAGCAAAATCATTTTGTGGTTGAGTGGGGATGAAAGGCATAATGTACGAAGGAGTGAGTCTTAATAGGAAGCTGCTCTCTGAGTAAAGACCACTTGTTCCCTTTTGTTCAGAGGTGCATGCCATAGCTTCCTCTTCTCCCACAAATATTGTCCTGGTTTGCTTTAGCTATAAAACTATTTTTCCTGGATTCGTTTACTTTGCTGAGAATGCTTCAACTGCCTGAGATGTTACTTCAGTTTGAAGAGTATAATATTTTGCCAAAAGAAAAGACTGTGTTAAGTAATATAATTACTTGGGAGAAAAGGTCATAACTGAATCTTTCTCAAACAGTGGGTAGAACACGATGTGTGTGGCATTTTGTAGTCCTGTAGCAACAGAATCAGCCAGTGGAGGTCACTAGCATTCTGGATAATTCTGTATTTTGATGTGGTCAGTTTATTTTTCTTAGGCTTGTTTGCTTTGTCACACTTCAGAATGATCTGAAGATTAAAGATAACCTGTAGCCTAAGGTAACAAATACAATTTTTAATTTGTCAACATACAAATACTCGATACAATTTAATCAAAATTAAAAATATTTTATTTTGGAAGTAATCGATTATGTTCTCTAAAGATTATTTCTTAAGCAAAAACTCAATTTTTATTAATTTTGTGTTTATTCTAAATAAATAAAAATCTGCCAATTGCAATTCATCCTCTTAATTATTTTATAAATTAGTATTTAATAACAGAGTAACGAACATGCATTTTAAAATGCCAAAGCATACTATACTGTAGGCAGGCGCTTTGACCATTAGGGGGCACTCATACTTTGCTAAATTAAAACGGCTTGCAAATTTCACCCTGCTTTTTCAAGTTAATAATTTATACTATTTTGAAGCCCTGCATTTCAATTTTCTCATTTTCTTGACAATTTTTAATTGATTTATAAGAAAATTCTTTATTTTGTCTGAAGGTCTAAAGAGATGCTACAGAGTTTAGGTATGATATCGAGTCTGTATATTTTCTAGAAAGTTTACAGTGACTTGAATATGATCCAAAACCTTAAAGGCAACAGGATTTATTCTAGATGATTTATTATGGTTCATTTTTCTACAGAGATACATAGGAGAATGAATGCTTACCCAAAATCTTTGTTTTATTTTAACATAATTTTATGATGCTTTTAATCTTCCAAGTTCCTTGCAAAGAAGTAAACATTTTATAGATTGATTTCAACGGGTCGTTCAGACATTGTAATGTAAGCATGACATATTGAAAACTTACTATAATGCATGGGTTTAAAATCTTATCTCTATATGTCGTTAGCAGTGTATCTTGACTAGTCAGGACCTTGCATGAAACTTTTCTAAAAAGTGTGTTTATACCAGTTTTATAAAGTTACTGAGACTTTTTTTTTTCATTCTCAATTTCATATTGTGTGGTTTTGCTGTTGGCTCTGGTTGGAAATTCATCCCTCCCAGCACAAAGTGTGAGCATTGTGCTTGGAACTAAGTGGTAGCAGAAAGGAAGAAATTCCCACACACCCTAAACTTACAGCTCGTCAACAGCCACTGTTCCAGCCTATGGAATAGTCACCACTGCCCCACTGAGTCTTTTGTGTGGAGGATTTGAGATACATCCTAATGCAGAGCTGGTGGCTCATGGCCCCTACACCACCTCTTCCCCTAGGATGCAGGCGTGGCAGAGAAATTCCCTTTCTGTACATAGAACATAGAGGCCTTCTCTGCACTCATGTTGCGTGCTCCCCTTACTAAGCCTTGCTCAGAGGTTTAAATGGCACAGCAGGCCTTGTATGGACCTTCTGCATCTGGGAGAATTTCACCCTCTGTGCATCAGGTTTTTTACAGTCTGCCATCCACTGCTAGCTTGATGACTAGAAAGATTCTGGTCTTAAACATACGTTGTCTTGCCTTAGAGCCTTATACCATAATTCAAATGTAATTGCATGTGGAAGTCTTATTTTTAATGTAGTCTTCAGTTCTATTATTAATTACATTACTATTGGGTGTCCTTTATAGAAGCAAGAATCGTGTCATATTTCTCTCTGATTTAAGTTTCCATTTATCGTCATTAAGTGCATTTGTCCAGTTTTTCTTCAGAAATGATCAAAACCAAGTAAGCCAACTTTTCTTTTTCATGTTTATTAAAAGTGCAGAAAATATCTTCATCAGCTGCACCTATCTTGAACTACTTGTTTATCAGGAGGAAATAATAGCCCACATTGAAGCAAGTTTTTATTCTGATTCACAGAAAAAAAAAATCTATGACCACCCAGGAATAAATGTTTTGTCACAGTACAGAGACTGGAATTAAGTAGTCAGGCTTACATTTTATCAATGATAAGCTTTTTTGGACATTTTTGAAAAATGGGTAATTTTGGGGAAAGACCACAGCTTCATCCTCAACTCATTGTTGGGAAGAATTTCTATACCAGCCATCTCAAACTTTGAGGGTTACTAAGAACTGCCTTGTGAAAAAGAAACAAC